AGGCTCCAACCGGGTCCGTAAGGCTCTATCCGGGTCCCTAAGGCACCATCTGGGTCTCTGGGCTCCATCCCAATCCCTAAGGCTCCATCCAGGTCCCTAAGGCTCCAACCGGGTCCGTAAGGCTCTATCCGGGTCCCTAAGGCACCATCTGGGTATCTGGGCTCCATCCCGATCCCTAAGGCTCCATCCGGGTCCCTAAGGCTCCAACCGGGTCCGTAAGGCTCTATCCGGGTCCCTAAGGCACCATCCGGGTCTCTGGGCTCCATCCAAGTCTCTGGGCTCCATCCGGGTCCCTAAGGCTCCATTCGGGTCCCTAAGGCTCCATCCGAGTCTCTGGGCTCCATCCGGGTCTCTGGGCTCCATTAGGGTCCCTAAGGATCCATCCGGGACCCTAAGACTCCATCCGGGTTTCTGGGCTCCATCCAGGTCCCTAAGGCTCCATCCAGGTCCCTAAGGCTCCATTCTGGTAACTGGGCTCAATCCGGGTCGCTAAGGATCCATTCCGGTCTCTGTGCTCCACCCGGGTCTCCAGGGCCACATCTGGGTCACTGCACTCCATCTGGGTCTCTGGGCTCCATTAGAGTCTCTGGGCTCCATCCAGGTCTCTGGGCCCCATCCGAGTCTCTGGGCTCTATCCGGGTCTCTGGGCCACATCGGGCTCTCTGAGCTCCATCCGGGTCACTGGGCTCCATCCGGGTCTCTGGGCCACATCGGGGTCACTGGGCTCCATCCGGGTCTCTGGGCTCCATCCGGGTCTCTGGGCACCATTCGAATCTCTGGACTCCATCCGATGCTCTGGGCTCCATCCGGGTTCTTAAGGCTCCATCTTGTGTATAAGGCTCCCTCCGAGTCTCTAGGATCACTCCAGGTTCCTAAGGCTCCATCGAGGTCTCTGGGCTCCACCAGGGTCTCCGGGCCACATCCGAGTCCCCATTGCCACATCCGGGTCCCCAGGGCCACCTCCAGGTCTCTGGATTCCATCGGGTTCTCTGGGCTCCATCCGAGTCTCTGGGCTGCATCCGGGTCTCTTGGCTCCTTCCGGGTACCTAAGGCTCCATCCGAGTCTCTGACCTCCATCCGGGTCCCTAAGACTCCATCCGAATTCCTAAGGCTCTATCTGGGTTCCTAAGGCTCCATCCGAGTCTATGGATTCCCTCCGGCTTACACAGAGCCGGGCGGGGATACTACACCTCCCCGAAGCCTCAGCGGCGGCGGCGACGCTCTACGTGTGGGCTGTACTGGCCTGAGTGACAGGTAGCCGACCCAATGGCTTCCCCGGTCTCAGACTCCGGACCACTCAGACGTGGGGTGGGTGTGTGCTTCCTGTTTCGGAGGCGTCTGCTCGGGGCGGAAATGGTGTGGAAAGGAACCGTGTTTCAACCCAGCTGTCTTCTTTCTCTTCTTAGAAAAAAAGCTGTGAGGCCTAATTTTCCTGACCTGAGCTATCATTTTCCTTTTATCATCTGTGGGCCATATTTCCTGGTTTCACATTGCCCAGCCACCCTCTGCTTGGACAGGGTGGACCGGGGAGACTACAACTCCCCAAAGCCTCAGCGGCAGGGCGCTCTGCGGCTGGGCTCGTCTGAGTGACAGGTCGGGCAGCCATTGGCTTCACGCGGTCTCAGACTCCGTTGCCAATCAGATGCTGAGTGGTTGTGTCGCCCTGTTTCTGCGGCTCGGGGCGGAAATGGTGTGGAAAGGAACCGCCTCGAGCCACGCCCCTCGCGGCTCCTGACTGGACGCGGGAAGTGACGTCTGCGCGCACCACGCGGCAGTCGTCCCGCCCATGTCCAGCTCGGACCGGACGGGGCAGCTTCGGGTCTGTGTCCCGCACGTCCCTGGCAGCCCCTGAGCGGGCGCGTACCCGCCTGTCCGTCCGCCAGAACCTCGCCCTGTAGCTTGGCCCTGCCTGCCCTTGTCTGGGAGGAGGAACGCGCAGGAGGAGCCCAGAACCTGTCTTCTGCCGACGCTGCCTGCCCGCGCCCAGCACGGGCGGGACAGGCCGGACTGTTCCTCCTCATCCAGCAGAGCCAGTCAGGGCCGGGCAGAGGGCGAGGTTCTGAACCTAGACCTGCGCCTCACTCGTCCAGGGAGGCCAGGCAGCCACCGGCGAGGAAGGAGGTGGCGTTCTGAGCGCGCACTGGAAAAAGTCATTAGCGGCAGTGCAGAGGGCGGGAGGAGGCGCCCTCGGGCAGCTTCCGGGTCGCGTTAGGGGCAGCAGGAGCGCTAAGGGGGTGGGGTTTAGGCGGGAGACTGACAGATTCCCGGTCCAGTCAGGGGCAGAAGGAGCGCTAAGGGGGTGGGGTGCTGGCGGGAGACTGACAGGATCCCGGTCCAGTCAGGGGCAGGCAGCACCTCCAAGGGGGTGGGGTTTAGGCGGGAGACTGACAGGTTCCCCGTCCAGTCAGGGGCAGGCAGCATCGCCAAAGGGGTGGGGTTTAGGCGGGAGACTGACAGGTTCCCCGTCCAGTCAGGGGCAGAAGGAGCGCCAAGGGGGTGGGGTTTAGGCGGGAGAGTGACAGGATCCCCGTCCAGTCAGGGGCAGAAATAGCGCCAAGAGGGTGGGGTTTAGGCGGGAGAGTGACAGGTTCCCCGTCCACAGGGGCAGAAATAGCGCCAAGAGGGTGGGGTTTAGGCGGGAGACTGACAAGTTCCCCGTCCAGTCAGGTGCAGGAAGGGGAGCGCTAAAGGGGTGGGGTTTAGGCGGGAGACTGACAGGTTCCCCGTCCACTCAGGGGCAGAAGGAGCGCCGAGGGGGTGGGGTTTACTCTCTTTTCTTGAAAATAAAAGCTCTATGATCTAATTTTCCTGACCTAAGTTATCATTTTTCTTTTATCATCTGTGGGCCATATTCCCTGGTTTCACATTGTCCAGCCACGCTCGGCTTGCACAGAGCGGGGCGGGGAGACTACAACTCCGGAAGCCTCAGCGGCGCCGGCGACGCTCTACGTGTGGGCTGTACTGGCCTGAGTGACAGGTAGCCGACCCAATGGCTTTCCCGGTCTCAGACTCCGAACCGCTCAGACGCGGGGTGGGTGTGTGCTTCCTGTTTCGGAGGCGTCTGCTCGGGGCGGAAATTCTATATGTAAGAGCTGAGAAAGCTTTCTTTTCTTTCAAAAAAAAAAAAAAAAAAGCTCTGAGGCCTAATTTTCCTGACCTAAATGATCATTTTTCTTTTATCATCTGTGGGCCATATTCCCTGGTTTCACATTGTCCAGCCACCCTCTGCTTGGACAGGGTGGACCGGGAAGACTACAACTCCCCAAAGCCTCAGCGGCAGGGCGCTCTGCGGCTGGGCTCGTCTGAGTGACAGGTCGGGCAGCCATTGGCTTCACGCGGTCTCAGACTCCGTTGCCAATCAGATGCTGAGTGGTTGTGTCGCCCTGTTTCTGCGGCTCGGGGCGGAAATGGTGTGGAAAGGAACCGCCTCGAGCCACGCCCCTCGCGGCTCCTGACTGGACGCGGGAAGTGACGTCTGCGCGCACCACGCGGCAGTCGTCCCGCCCATGTCCAGCTCGGACCCGACCGGGCAGCTTCGGGTCTGGGTCCCGCACGTCCCTGGCAGCCCCTGAGCGGGCGCGTACCCGCCTGTCCGTCCGCCAGAACCTCGCCCTGTAGCTTGGCCCTGCCTGCCCTTGTCTGGGAGGAGGAACGCGCAGGAGGAGCCCAGAACCTGTCTTCTGCGACGCTGCCTGCCCGCGCCCAGCACGGGCGGGACAGGCCGGACTGTTCCTCCTCATCCAGCAGAGCCAGTCAGGGCCGGGCAGAGGGCGAGGTTCTGAACCGAGACCTGCGCCTCACTCGTCCAGGGAGGCCAGGCAGCCACCGGCGAGGAAGGAGGTGGCGTTCTGAGCGCGCACTGGAAAAAGTCATTAGCGGCAGTGCAGAGGGCGGGAGGAGGCGCCCTCCGGCAGCTTCCGGGTCGCGTTAGGGGCAGCAGGAGCGCTGAGGGGGTGGGGTGCTGGCGGGAGACTGACAGATTCCCGGTCCAGTCAGGGGCAGAAGGAGCGCCAAGGGGGTGGGGTGCTGGCGGGAGACTGACAGGATCCCGGTCCAGTCAGGGGCAGGCAGCACCGCCAAGGGGGTGGGGTTTAGGCGGGAGACTGACAGGTTCCCGGTCCAGTCAGGGGCAGAAGGAGCGCCAAGGGGGTGGGGTTTAGGCGGGAGAGTGACAGGATCCCGGTCCAATCAGGGGCAGGCAGCACCGCCAAGGGGGTGGGGTTTAGGCGGGAGACTGACAGGTTCCCCGTGCAGTCAGGGGCAGAAGGAGCGCCAAGGGGGTGGGGTGCTGGCGGGAGACTGACAGGATCCCGGTCCAGTCAGGGGCAGGCAGCACCGCCTAGGGGGTGGGGTTTAGGCGGGAGACTGACAGGTTCCCGGTCCAGGCAGGGGCAGGCAGGGGAGCTAGGGATGCGGGGTTCTGGTTGACGACGGGCAGCTTTTGGTCCGAGTCAGGAGCTGGCAGGGGAGCCAAGGAGGTGGGGTTCTGGCGGGAGACTGACAGGTTCCCCGTCCAGTCAGGGGCAGAAGGAGCGCCGAGGGGCTGGGGGTTTAGGCGGGAGACTGACAGGATCCCGGTCCAATCAGGGGCAGGCAGGGGAGCTAAGGGGGTGGGTGTCTGGCGGGAGACTGACAGGTTCCCGGTCCAGGCAGGGGCAGGCAGGGGAGCTAGGGATGCGGGGTTCTGGTTGACGACGGGCAGCTTTTGGTCCGAGTCAGGAGCTGGCAGGGGAGCCAAGGAGGTGGGGTTCTGGCGGGAGACTGACAGGGTCCCGTCCAGTCTGGGGCAGGCAGGACCGCCAAGGGGGTGGGGTTCTGGCGGCAGAGTGACAGTTTCCCGGTGCAGTTGTGGGCCGGCAGGGGAGCTAAGGCCTTGGGGTTTGGGCGCAGACTGACAGGTTCCTGGTCCAGTCAGGGGCAGGAAGGGGACCCAAGGAGGTGGGGTTCTGGCGGGAGACTGACAGGTTGCGGGTCCATCAGGGGCAGGCAAGGGAGCTAAGAACATGGGGTTATGACTGAAGATTGACAGGGTCCGGTCTAGTAAGGCCAGGCAGGGGAACAAAGGAGATATGGTTCTGACTGCAGACTTACATGTTCCTGGTCCTTATGGCCTGGCAGGGAGGCTAAGAGTGTGGGGTTCTGGCCTCAGACTCACAGGTTCCTGATCCACTCATGGGCAGGCAGGGGAGCAAAAAGTTGGTGTGATGGCCACAGACAGACAGGTTTCCAGTCCCATCAGGAGCAGTCTGCGGACCTAAGGATGTGGGGTTCCTGTTACAGATTGACATGTACAGTCAATGCTACTCAGCACAGCCACAGGAAGTTGGGTTCTGGGCACAGGCTGTCAGGTCTAGGTACCATCAGGGCCACACAGGGCAGCCTCAGGGAGTGAGGTCCTGGCAGCAGACTGACAGGTTCCCGGTGAAGTCAAGGAAGTGGATTCTGGCTTCAGTACAGTAGAGATTGCTGAACAAAGTAACTCCCTGCATCCAAAGCTTCTGTGCTGTAAGCCCCCCTGTGACTCCCTGTATCCAAAGCTTCCATGTTGTATGTAACTCCGTTTTCCTGCTGATGTAGCCCTTTTTCCCTTTAAAAACTCTCCCTAAGAAAGATCGGGGCCTCACTCCTTCCTCTGCTGTGCTGGTTGGTTGGATGGGGTCCCTGTCGCGGCTTGTACTCCTGAATAAACCTTGCTTTTGCAGTTCGGTGTGATCGACACTCTGGGGGTCTCTGCAGGGATCTAATGATCTGGGCACAGCATACTTTTTGGTACCCAGCAGTTGAATTATTAATAAAGACCCTCCACGACATTGAGAAACTGAGGACTGGATGACTTCAATGCTGAACATGATCCAAAGAAAAATTGATTCCAATTGTTCTCAAGCTTTTGAAAACATGGATATTATCCCAGACTCCTTTTATGAGGCCAGCATCACCTAATTCTAAAACCAGAAAAAGATACAATAAGGAAAGATAATTATAGAGCAATGTCTGATGAATATAGATGCAAAAGTCCTCAACAAAGTACGATATAATTAAATCCAACAATGTATCAGCAAGAATGTGCATCAGGACCAAGTCAAATTTATTCCTGGCATGCAGGAATCATTCAACTTATGAAAGTTTAGTAAAGAATGTAGCTAGAAAGAAGGGAAAACTTCTAATTTAGGCATTTTATCCATTTTATTTAACCAAAATATTTGCTGCGACAAGACTTTGCAACATGTGTATTGTGTAAATTATCTGTGAATGTTTTATTTTAACTTGTTTTGCAGGGAGGAAAACCAACATTAGGCAGAAAGTCATATTTGCATTGCTAAGAGACAAGTCCTCTTATGATGTCACAGTAACTCAGGACCATGGTGATGGCTGACATCAGCTAGTCTTGTGTAAGTCTACTAAAGCAACATTTGAGGCCTCAGTTCTCAAAACCAGGCAGAAGCCAAAGAAAAATTTATTTGAGATGGCCCAGGTTCCCTCAGAAGTTCAAGGTGTCTCTCCTCAGAGTGGAACAACTGATTCAGAAAACACCACTGAAGCTCCAGGCTGGTATCCCACAATTGATAATGACTTGGATTTAAGGTCTGTAGTTGAAGAAAATGCCTTTCAAGCTTTATCTGAAGGACCCTTGATAAAAAGACCACGCTATACACTTTGTATGTCTGACACCCCAGAAGGGAATGATTTTGTTTCTCTGACCTTTCCTGTAAAACTTTGGAAGATAGTTGAAAGTGATCAATTTAAGTCAATTTGGTGGGACGAAAATGGGACTTCTATTGTGATAAATGAAGAATACTTTAAGAAAGAAGTGTTGGAAAGAAAGACCCCTTTTAAGATATTTGAAACAGACAGCATGAAAAGTTTAGTTCGACAGCTTAACCTTTATGGATTTAGAAAAATACGACAAGATTTCCAAAGCTCTGCATCCCTGACTGACTTTCTGGAAGAAGAAAACAACATACCTGTTTTTAGCAAGGTATTCAACATATTCACTTACAACTAATGTAGGCATCACAACTAAGTTTAGTTTGTACCTCACTTAATATATTTATTTATGGAGTAAGACACAAAGTTTAAAATTAGCTGGATCAACATTAAATTTTTATGAGAAGAAAGTTTGAAATTCAAAAATATAAGCAATGTTACTAGTTATTTTGAATCTTATCAATGAGCTCCACACAAAGAAGTTAAGGTCAGTTTAGTGGAACGGTTATCATATTTAAATGTTTGCTAACTTTTACATTTAGGAATAATCAAGTTTTATTTGTTGTAATTATGTTGAACCTGATATTTTAGATTTTATAATTTTATCTATTCATTTATTCATAGATTGCATATATTCATATATATTAATTTGTGACTCTTGGTTTGAAGTATCACTAAATGCTTTCTCCTTTGGTTTCAGTTACTGTTCTATCAGAATCCAAATTTTAAGCGAGGATGTCCCCAACTTCTAGTAAGAATGAAGCGCAGAGTTGGGATTAAACACACATCTCCACCATCTGCTTCTTTAGTTCACAATCTTGACAAGACATACCACAGTGCAGGCGAGTATGTGCATACTCAAAATCCTAGCTCATCTACAGAAACTAATGAAGAAAGGTTACTTTCAACTTCTACAAATTTAAATGTGCCTCCTACTAGCCACAGAATTGCTAATTCAAATGATCCAGTGACAAGTAATATTTTGACTCCATCATCAACTTTAATTGCACCATCAGTACAATTTGTAACAAATCAACATGCTCTTTTAAATCAAATGACCACTTCTCATAGGCATTCATATAGCACCTACTCTCAAGCACATGGCCATATCCTGAATGTTGTGACAACTACAACTTCTATTTCCCAATTTCAAATATTGTCTCCTGTACAGAATAATTATTTTGGACTGATGGCAAACCGTCCTGTTTTTGCACCTAGACATCCTTCTTTAGCAACAATTGTGGGTCCTTTTTCTAGCACGTTAACAGCAAGCAATCCATGGTTCACTATGCCAATGATAGCTAGTAGAACTGCTGCCTCCCCGCCAATGTCAACTAATCAACCATCCTCAATATACCAATATCCTAATTTTAACTGACCTTTGACTAAATGAAAATTAGACACGGAAAGGTGTTATGTTCATCAGTTCTGGAAAAATAACTGAAATTCTATTACTTGAACAATAAAATGACATGTTCAACTTTATGATTTTTTTTCTTTTCAAAATATAGTTTTATAGTAAATATTTTATATTGACAGGAGACTAGTCTGCTATTAGTTGTATAGTTTATGAAGTTCCAGTCATTTGATATGAAACTTCACATTGAATATTTGAAAGTTAACTTTATTTCATTTTATATTTTATAAAGAAATGTATTAATACATTGCATTCTCAGGGTCAAAGCAAATGCATTAATAATTGCTAGAACATAATTCTATTCAATTTTTTAAGTTAGTCTGGTTTTTTTGGTAGCTTTTATTTAATCAATATAAATTTCCAAAGTACAGCTTATGGATTACAATGGCTTCCCCCCCATAACATCCCTCCCACCCACAACCCTCCCCTTTCCCACTCCCTCTCCCCTTCCATTCACATCAAGATTCATTTTCGATTCTCTTTATATACAGAAGATCAGTTTAGCATACATTAAGTAAAGATTTCAGGCCAGCGCCGCGGCTCACTAGGCTAATCCTCCGTCTAGCGGCACCGGCACACCGGGTTCTAGTCCCGGTCGGGGCGCCGGATTCTGTCCCGGTTGCCCCTCTTCCAGGCCAGCTCTCTGCTGTGGCCAGGGAGTGCAGTGGAGGATGGCCCAGGTGCTTGGGCCCTGCACCCCATGGGAGACCAGGAAAAGCACCTGGCTCCTGGCTCCTGCCATCGAATCAGCGCGGTGCGCCGGCCGCAGCGCGCCGGCCGCGGCGGCCATTGGAGGGTGAACCAACGGCAAAGGAAGACCTTTCTCTCTATCTCTCTCTCTCACTGTCCACTCTGCCTGTCAAAAAAAAAAAATTAAAAAAAAAAAGATTTCAACAGTTTGCTCCCACACAGAAACATAAAGTGAAAAATACTGTTTGAGTATTAGTTATAGCATTAAATCTCAATGTACAGCACACCAAGGACAGAGATCCTACATGAGGAGTAAGTTCACAGTGACTCCTGTTGTTGACTTAACAAATTGACACTCCTGTTTATGGCATCAGTAATCACCCTAGGCTCTAGTCATGAGTCGCCAAGGCTATGGAAGCCTTTTGAGTTTGCCGACTTCGATCTTGTTCGGACAGGGTCATAGTCAAAGTGGAAGTTCTCTCCTCCCTTCAGAGAAAGGTACCTCCTTCTTTGATGGCCCATTCTTTCCACTGGGATCTCACTCACAGAGATCTTTCATTTAGGTGTTTTTTTTTTTTTTTTTCCAGAGTGTCTTGGCTTTCCATGCCTGAAATACTCTCATGGGCTCTTCAGCCAGATCTGAATGCCTTAAGGGCTGATTCTGAGGCCAGAGTGCTGTTAGGACATCTGCCATTCTATGAGTCTGCTGTGTATCCTGCTTCCCACATTGGATGGTTCTCTCCCTTTTTGATTATATCAGTTAGTATTAGCAGACACTAGTCTTGTTTGTGTGATCCCTTTGACTCTTAGACCTATCAGTGTGATCAATTGTGAACTGAAATTGATCACCGGGACTAGTGAGATGGCATTGGTACATGCCACCTTGATGGGATTGAATTGGAATCCCCTGGTATGTTTCTAACTCTACCGTTTGAGGTAAGTCAGCTTGAGCATGTCCCGAATTGCACATCTCTTCCCTCTCTTATTCCCACTCTTATGTTTAACAGGGATCACTTTTCAGTTAAGTTTCAGCACTTAAGAAGAATTGTGTGTTAATTACAGAATTCAACCAATAGTAATAGAACAAAAAAAGAAAAAATACTAAAATGGATAAAGTATTACATTGTACATCAACAGTCAGGACAAGAGCTGATCAAGTCACCATTTCTCACAGTGTCCATTTCACTTCAACAGGTTTCCTCTTTGGTGCTCAGTCAGTTGTCACCGATCAGGGAGAACATATGATATTTGTCCCTTTGGGACTGGCCTATTTCACTCAGCATGATGTTTTCAAGGTTTCTCCATCTTGTTGCAAATGACTGGGTTTCATTGTTTTTGACTGCTGTATAGTATTCTATAGAGTACATGTCCCATAATTTCTTTATCCAGTCTACTGTTGATGGGCATTTAGGTTGGTTCCAGGTCTTAGCTATTGTGAATTGAGCTGCACTAAACATTAATGTGCAGACAGCTTGTTTGTTTGCCAATTTAATTTCCTTTGGGTAAATTCCAAGGAGTGGGATGGCTGGGTTGTATGGTAAGGTTATATTCAGGTTTCTGAGGAATCTCCAGACTGACTTCCATAGTGGCTTGACCAGTTTGCATTCCCACCAACAGTGGGTTAGTGTCCCTTTTTCCCCACATCCTCGCCAGCATCTGTTGTTGGTAGATTTCTGAATGTGAGCCATTCTAACCGGGGTGAGGTGGAACCTCATTGTGGTTCTGATTTGCATTTCCCTGAGTGCTAGTGATCCTGAACATTTAGGTTTTCTGTCTTCCTGGTTCAATTTAGGTAGATTGTATGTGTCCAGGAATCTCTCCATTTCTGATAGATTTCCCTGTTTGCTGGCATACAAGTCTGTGAGTCTAATTGGAGATCCTTTGAGAGTAATCTGACGTTTCTCTCTTGCACATTTTAGGATCTTTTCTTTATGCTTCACTGTGGTGAGTTTAATTACCACGTGTCGTGGTGAGGATCTCTTTTGGTCATGTTTATTGGGGGTTCTATGAGCTTCCTGTACTAGGATGTCTCTGTCCTTCTCCAAACCTGGAAAGTTCTCTGCTAGTATCTCACTAAAAAGGCCTTCTAATCCTTTCTCTCTCTCCATGCCTTCAGGAACTCCTAGAACTCGAATGTTGGTTTTTTCAATAGTATCCTGTAGATTCCCAACAATATTTTTTAGATTTCTAATTTCCTCTTCTTTTCTTTGGTTTGACTGTATGTTTTCCTGTGCTCTATCTTCTAAGTCCGATATTCTCTCTTCTGCTTCACCCATTCTGTTTTTAAGGCTTTCTAATGTGTTTGTCATTTGATCTATTGAGCTCTTCATTTCATTTTGATTTCTCTTCACTATTACACTTTCCTGTTCTACTAGTTTCTGTGTTTCATTTTGATTCTTCCTTAAAATTTCATTTTCACGAGAGAGATTTTCAATCCTGTCCAGTAAGGATTTCTGTAGTTCAAGGATTTGCTTTTGAAAACTTCTAAATGTTCTTATCATAAATTTTTTGAAATCTCTATCTTTCATTTCTTCTATCTCATCATCTTCATAATCTTGAATTGGGGTGTCTTGTTCATTTTGGGGGTGCCATAATGTCTTCCTTGATCTTGTTTCCTCGGTTTCTGCATTTGTTGCTTGGCATTGTGGATACTCTTTGGATGCTTCTTCCCTTGCTGTGGTGTTTTTTTCTTGTTATACTATGACTGTATTAAGTGGACTGTCTGCTTTTGATGGAGCCTTAGAGGCTTGAGATGGGTGTGGCCAGAGAGCCTGTTTGGTTCCTCAGGGTTAAGGGTATGCCAAAGGTGACACTCCCAGGTTAGGCATGGTAAATCTCTCTCTTTTTTATTTATTATTTTTTATTCAGAAGGGAAGTAATGCTGCACAGCTAAGCAGAATTGAAGGTAGTCAGCGTCCAATCTCTGGCTCCTGTGGGTATAACATTCATCTGCTCTTTCCCAAGGACCACACAGGTAATCAGTAGAGGGATTTGTCTATGGAGAAAATCCTGAACAATCATACAACATTGAGTGGGAGAGAGGACCATCAGTACACACAGGTTGGGAGTAGAGCCACTGATGTTAGAGTAGAGGCTGTGATTACAAAGGAATGAGGCCCCAAGTGGGCTAGACAGGGTCTAGAAGAGTTACTAGTGGAGGACCTAAGGAAGCTGCTGTCTAAGCCACAAATAAGTTCTCTGATTGAGAGGCAAATAGAACCTGACAGAAGGGGCTTGATAATCTGCTGGGCTTTATGGTCCTGTCAGTTATGAGGCCCAGACTCATCTATCTCTTTACATGGGGTACATTTTAAGAGAGGTGTGAACCTCCTTGGGGAAGGCACCCTGTTGACTTCCATTACCAGCTGGCCTGGGAGGAGAGTTGGCCAGGTAAAGGCAGATGGCATCTCCAACAGGAAATTTACAGTTCTGCCTGTAATGTTGCAGACCCTGCTTGGCCACCCTTCAGCAGCAGTGGTCACCTTGGAAGCTGGGCTGAGTGAAAGACTTTTCAGCTTAGAGCCAATAAGATCCATGACTCTCACCTGGGTATCCTTCAACTCCAGGGCAGGTCCATTTCCAGTGATCCAACTCTTGGCTGGCAGAGCTGCCAGGGCTTTTAATGAGCTGATTTCTATTAAAGTCCAGGCTTACCTCATTGAAAGCCACTGTGGTGGGCCGGCGCCGCGGCTCACTAGGCTAATCCTTTGCCTTGCAGCACTGGAACACCGGGTTCTAGTCCTGGTCGGGGCGCCGGATTCTGTCCCAGTTGCCCCTCTTCCAGGCCAGCTCTCTGCTGTGGCCAGAGAGTGCAGTGGAGGATGGCCCAAGTGCCTGGGCCCTGCACCCCATGGGAGACCAGGAGAAGTACCTGGCTCCTGCCATTGGATCAGCGCGGTGCACCAGCCACGGCGGCCATTGGAGGGTGAACCAACAGCAAAGGAAGACCTTTCTCTCTGTCTCTCTCTCTCACTGTCCACTCTGCCTGTCAAAAAAAAAAAGAGTTGCTTTATATCAGTCTAACAATAGTATCTGATATTTTGTGCGATGCCCTCTTGTTAGCCATTGATATCCTTTAAGTGAGTCTGTGTCAGGGCCTTTTAAAGCTTCATACAGGCAGGCGCCACGGCTCACTAGGCTAATCCTCTACCTTGCGGCACCGGCACACCAGGTTCTAGTCCCGGTCAGGGCGCTGGATTCTGACCCAGTTGCCCCTCTTCCAGGCCAGCTCTCTGCTGTGGCCAGGGAGTGCAGTGGAGGATGGCCCAAGTACTTGGGTCCTGCACCCCATGGGAGACCAGAATAAGTACCTGGCTCCTGCTTTCAGATCAGTGCAGTGCGCCGGCCGTGGTGGCCATTGTAGGGT